ATACATTTTTATACATTTTGTATAGTCGAGTGCAGTGTAAAATCTCTCCGCCCGTCGCTTTTATAGGCTGATAATAATTTCGATATATCTATCAAGGGAGTGAGGCATCTCCCATACAAATCGAAGTTTTCATAGCGTATAATATCTCTGGAAGTATTTGTAGTGAAGTCCTGAAACTTGGTATGGAGATATTTGAAATCAATCCCATACTCATAGAGAAAAGTGGGGGTTATTGGAAAAGGGGCGTGGCGCTTTCCAACCATACTGAAACTTTTAATAAAATAAATATTGAATTTCTGTGGACCAATTATACTACACCATTTTGAAATTGCCACCAACTGTACAATACAGATTCAGTGACGATTCACCATCGAATCATTGTTAGCCCAAGAACTTCTTCGGGGACATGACGATTTCATAAGGTTATTCAACTACAACACCAAAATGTGAACGTGAATTGTTGGTGAAAACGTTGATCAAATGTTTTAGTAAAAATTAATTTTGGGCGGGACGAAGTCCGCCGTGTCTGCTAGTAGTAAATAAAATTGAACAACGAGTTTTCTTAATGATTTCTCAATTTTTAACTGGTTTATTTAGCATTTCCAAAATAAATATTTGTAGTTATATACTCGTTTCTTTAAAAAATGGAAATTAATCATTTTTCATATACAAACTTAAATTAGTCTATTTGCTAAATTTAATATAAGGCTACTTTCTAAGTATGTATGTATGTATGTATGTATGTATAAGTGTGTACGTACGTTCCGATTGGTGTGTGCATTTCTTGTAAGCTAAAGTTTGTTTGTATTTGCAAAAAATTTAATACTCAATTAGCTAGTGAAAACACGCTATAAAGCAACAAAGTTATGCATGAAAGCATTTTCGTACGATTTCAAACAAATGCCATAAACTGCATAATAAATATTAAAATCTCTATATTTTATTTCGCATTACAAAGTTGAGCTGCTGTAGTTTGGTTTTACTTTTTACTCAAACGCAGGATACGTTCCTTAAGGCCGCCTGGCTTCAGTTTTGTGGTTTTAACATTTTTGCGTGATTGTGTCTGAATTTGCTTCGACTTGCGTAACCTGAAAGTTGACAACAAACAAAAAATTTGTAATTGCTATTGGATTTTTTCGCCCTCAATTTCCGCACTTACAAGTCGTCATACAACGTGGCAATCTCCTTCTTCCAAATGTCCTTAAAGTCATTGGTGAAGTTCGTCCAATACTCAAAGAACTGATCGGGCGTGCATTGTTCCAGCGCCCGAGATTTGGGCGTATAGTGATAGAAGCGCATCGTTTCGATGAACATCTCTCGCGACTCATCCAAGTCTTTGTAGAGTTTATCGATTGTCTTTGTTGCGCTCTCAATGAACTCCTCCATTTTCGATTTGAATGGCTCCAAAGTGC